TTGCAGGATCCCCACATGTATGATCAGGTCTATAAATATCTGGACCTTCCAGTGCAGGTATGTGAACATCAGATCACTCGCTCGGCCGCTTCATCGGGAACCAAACAATCACCGTACGCTACGCAGGCCGCGAGACGCTGCCGCTTCATCTGGAAAATCAGCTGATGACCGATTCAATTATTCTAGGATACTCTGAGACACTATCAGGTCCGGATTTACACATAGGCATTCTAGGTATTTCGCCCGCGAATTTATCAGTAAAATAGTTTCGCAGCTACATGACATTTTTCAGTAGCGAGGTTCTTGAAGCAGTTTAACTTAAAGATACGCTATTAGTATACGCTGCTGCTGAGAGACGCTTAATCTCTCTCTCTAATAACTGCATCAGACTGCATTAATAACTGCGACAAAAAAAATTTTTTTTTATATATATATACATATTATGTTATATTATAAATAAATATTATGGTTTTTTACATTGTGTGTGTGTTTGTATATATATTTTACAATATTTATAAATGGAAAAAAAAATGTCTCCAGAAGTGTATAATTTTTTAATTTTATTATTATTGTTATTTATTTTGATTCGAGAAATAATGGTCGACGCCGCGCCTGTTAATGGAACGGTCTTTCTCAGTTCTCAAACAAATTAAGAACTGCATTCGATTTTTATTGACTGAACGCAAGCGCTTATTGCGATAGACAACACTGTATCGGTTTCACTGATTAAGAAATATTTTTGTTTGCTTGAGTAATATTAGGCATATTATATTAATAGGGAAGGGGGCCCAAAAATGTGTTTTGCCTATGTCACGAAAAGAGGTAAATCCGGCCCTGGATACTATTATAGATTTCATTAAATTCGAAGTAGTTTTTAATTTGAAATTTTCCATTTCCATTTTGAAGTTTTAGTAATTAAGTTGTTTTTTTTGCCATTTTATTTTAATTTTTAGATTTTCCATTTTCATTTTAGTTAAAGTTTCAGTATTTTAGTTGTATTTTTGCCATTTTAAGTTTTAGATTTTCCATTTTCATTTAAATTTTAGTTATAGTTTTTGCAATTTTCTTGTGTTTTTACTTTTTTAATGTTTATATTTTCCATTTTCACCTTAAAATTTTTAAAATGTTGTTCTATATTTGCCATTTTAACTATTGTTTTTATATTTTTCATTTAAAATTTCACTTAGTTTTAGTCATTTTATTTTCATACATTTTTATTTCAGTTTTAGTTATTTTAGTACAGTTATTTTATTTCAAGCAACAAAAATATTTTTTATGGTTTTATTTTTAGTTTTAAATGAACTATAAAAACCCTGTAAATTACACAAAATTGCACTGATAAAAACACAATATATAGATGTGTATATATAGTCATTAATCACTGAATTACTGAATTGAATGTATATTAATTTAGTGTGCATTTATTTTTAATAAATCATAAATGATTCCTTATCAGATATTAGTGTACACACATCTGAAGGTTAAAATAAATCCCAGTGTTTTCCAGATGATGCATCAGAGATCTCCGCGACATACGTGTGTGTTTGGTTTGGCTGATTTCTTTCATAAATTCTCAACAGTCTTGATTCGGTCTGAAGTCAAACGCTGAAACACAAGCCATCTAGATTTGTTTGTTTCCTGTTTGTCTGACCTGTTGAGCTTTTCCGTGTGTGTGTGAGTGTGTGTGTGTGTGTGTGTGTGTGTGTGTGTGTGTGTGAGTGAGTGTGTGAGTGTGTG